GGGAGGGAGGGAGGGACGCACACAACTTTCTTGTAAAGCGTTAAGCACATAGCAATCAACATTGACAGTTGCGAGGTCACTCAAAACTCTGCCCTCGTTTTCAAACTCAAACTCCAAGACTTGCTGAGACACATGACATCGGCGCAGATCCGGGCACCCTAGCACATTCAGTGCCTTCCAGTATGACGACGATGGTTGCCTTACGGTGTCTTTGAACCAGTCGGAGTTAGTACGCGGGGATGGGGGATGGGGGATGGGGGATGGGAATAACATGTCTCGAAGAAGTTCGTGCCATTGCCGTGCAAAGTGGGGCCACTGATGCGCGGCAGGGGCAGAAGTAGGGTAGTAGTGGCAGCGGCGGCAAGGCAAGTACGCATCGGACATCCTCAGAGGCGGGAGAGGTGGGGCCCTACCAGGAGAGCGGCCATGAGAAGGGGCCGTTTGGGCTGCCCCCGCAGCTGCTCGCAACCCGCCAAATAGGGTTCTTGTCAGTGGACAACTTTTGTAGGTGGCGGTGAAGGCACCCGGGGGCCTGTCCGGATATGCCGGCCCAGCCTGCTCCGTTCACTCCGACTCAATCATCACTCTTTCCTTCTCCCCCTTCCCCCCTTCCCCCTTCCCCCCTCCGCGTTCGTGGTTCGTCTTTCCCCCCCTCCCCCCTCCGCACACAAGCACCTTCCCCGCCCTCACCGGCTTCGAGGAGTCAACCGCGACCCAGTGCACCGCAGAACCGCCAACCACGTGCAGCGCATCCGCCGGAAGCTGAGGAACCTGCCCCGCCGTCGACGTCGCCGCCACCGCTGGCTGCTGCTGTTGCTGCTGCGGGTTCCAGCCCACCATTAGTATGAATTGCGGTACCCTGATTTGCTCCCTTAGTCGTGTTGTAAGCTCCTGAAGGGAGGGGGGCCCCCCCTGGAGCTCCACGTACCCGGGGGCGTCTGAGGGGGGGGGGGAGGAGAGGGGGACATATCTTGTTGGGGCAGATGGTAATGTTCGGTTAATTGGGTGTTCAGTTGCACGAACCCTGACCCCCTCCCCCCCCACCACATATCCGGAGGACGTCCAGCCAATCAGTCGGGCATTCAACAGTACGACAAAGAAATATGGTTGGGGGAAAAGAGTTTTACGACGGTTCCACTTCCCGGGGATTAATTCGACGAAGGAGATCTGTCCACAAGTCCGCGACCCGGGATCCAATGTCATCAGGCCCGATTGGTAAGGCCGCCAAGGCGAGGAGAGTAAGGACAAGGTCGGGATTGGAAAATTGGAAATGCGGAGGAGGAACAAGAAGGAAAAAGCTCTAAATCACTGTCTAATGCCAGTCGCCCACAAACTCCCTGCCAGGGCCCCCTCATGATATACGTAAAGCCTCATGTACGTACGCATTCATTTCATACACGTACGTAACGCATCCCCACCGACACGCGAGCTATAGAGGAAAATAGAGGACTCGTATACTCGCTCAGCGTACTCAGCGTCGTCCAACACGCCATCACTCACGCGACCACATCACCCATCACTGCGCACCTGCATTCCCAAAACCTCCCCCCCCCCAAACAGAGACCCACCTACAGACCTACCCCGCACCACCCGCACCTGGTCTAGCCACCTGGCTGTCCGTGAAGACCAGTGCGTCGTACGGGGCCCCCAGATCCATCCAGCACCCATCAACATTTGCAACCCTACCACCGCTACCGCCAGCAGACGCAGACGCAGGAGCAGCGGAAGGCGAGGAAGAGGGGGTGGTGCAGACCGTGGCGGCGTCATTCTGCTGCGACCCATGTGACTCGGAAGTCCGTGTGTTGCCGCCGCCACCGCAAACACCTCCACCGCCCCCTCCAGCCTCCACAGCGCCCCTTGGCTGTTGAGGTCAGGGACAGGGGCCGTGTTACTAGATGACTGGCTCAGTTATATGTGGGTGGGTGGGTGGGTGGGTAGGTGGTGGGTGAGTGGGACGACGATAAATGCGGCACTGGGAGCAGCAGCAGCAGCGAACACACGAGACGATATATGATGCACTTAGATCAACATGTTCACCAACATATTCATCAATATACACGCACGGGTAGGTAACCAAGGCAGCCAGATAGAGCCAGAGCTACCGGATAGTACGACACACACCTGCACCCCACGAGGTCGGCCCCACTGGTTAAATACACACCAGCACGTGAAGGGCCGTACCGACGTGCTTGCCTCCCTCCCTCCTTGCCTCCCTCCCTTCCCTCCCACCCTTTCTTTCTTTCTTCTGCTAGCAACTCGCCGTCGACGTCATGTTGCACAAGCACTTCCCATCCCTACACCGCTAGCACTCGGTACTAGTAACACTACTAGATACTAATAATATAAGGTTTGCCGATATATAAGTAAAGGCCTAGGTGATTGATCCGCAAACTGCTGTGTGAGTCCGAAGACCTGCTCCATTTGCTTTTCCTCTTCCCCCCGGGGGCTCCTCTCCCCCGCGCCATCCAAGAGTCTTGGGAGGTTTAGGGTCCTCTTGTCGACTTTGCCTTCTCCACTGAACACAACAGACAGATCCAAACCAATCGCACTCACACACTCACACAACCCCCCTCCCCCTCCCCCTCCCCCTCCTCACTCAGCCTCCCAGTCCCCGCCAGGTAGCTCACCCTGAACCGCTGCGCTCCCAGCAGCCAGCTGCTCCCGGACCACCTGGCGCGCTGAACCTGAAAAAGAGGGTGGGGGCGAGAGGAGGGCGGCGAGGGAGGTGAAGTGACTAACCGGGAAGTAGTCGGCGAAGTACTGGGCGGGAACTGGTGCCACTATCGGCCGATAATAGGGAACCAGGAGGCGGTCGTCCGTACCAGGGTAGGGGTACATATCTGTGCAAACGTCCTACCGAAACACGGCCCCGGGGCGTTGGAACGAAGGGCAGTCTTGCCGGTGTATGGGGGGGGGCTGGTGGGGCGAGAGACTGGGTTGGGGCCACGACGGGGTGGGGCGGGGAAGGGGAAGACCCCACCCCGCCCCGCTTTCCCCCCCCCCCGAGGGCGGTTAGGAAAACCACTGGCGAATCAAGCAGGTACAAGAGATAGACGGATAGCCAAGGAGAGGGGGCGTTCAAAGGGGGGGCAGAGAGCATTCCCGATGTGGTCCAGTGGATGGGATAGGGACCCGGAATGACTGTACCGCAGGACCGGCCTCCCTGCCCTCCCGTGCCGTACACACGCGTCACCACCTTCCACCCTCAGCTCAATCCTTCCAGCCAGGTCCCATCACGTACCCTCCGCCACCCAGCCACCGCCCCTCCTCTGACCCACCCGCGTGTTTAACCGCAACGTAATGCTGCCTCCTCCTCCTCCCCCTCCTCCTCCATTCCCCCCCAGCAGGTGGCTCACGAGGGCCCCCATGGCGGGAACTCCCACGTACAGGGGCGCACCGGGGGGGGGAAGTGGGGGCAGCCTGCTGGGGAGGGGAGGGCAGGGACCGGAGGCAGGACCGCAGCGGGGCAGACGCCCAAGTGTAGGAGCCAATTCAAGACTCATTTTTTTACGCCGCGACGGAGAGGAGGACGTGAGTGAACTAAATGATGAAAGCCTATGTCAGCCACTTGCACATGCACGCGCACACATACATGTTACCAGACATCCGCATACACACACTCACATACTCACACACTCACCCGCATGAGGAAGGCAGGGATCCTGACATGCTGACTCGTGCTGCTAACATGGACACATACAGATATGCGTACATACATACATACGCACCTGGACCCCACCTCCAAAACCTCGGCAGCCGACAGCTCCTCCCCCGATTTAACCACTCCACGAGCCGCGTCGTACACCCCCAGGCGGGGCCGCCACTCAGCCACCACACCTGTAGAACCAGTACGGCAGATATAGTACAGCAACCGTACGACAGTATCCTGACAACCTCGCGCCCCAGGCTCCATCCATGGGACATCCCGCAGTGCACGCAGGGTCGGATCCAACAACTGTAACCCCGTCACTCCTCAGGTAACCTCACCACCTCCCCGAAATAGAAAAGATTCACCACGGCGCAAGGTGGGCTTAGAGGGAAAGCCTTTGGCTGTGGGAGGAAGTAAACACAGTTACGATCCGAACGCGAACCCAGGCATGGATACCCCTGGATGGGGCCGCGACTGAGGACGCCGTTGTGAAAGCGCCGCAACCTGCCTCCCCCTGATCCATCACTCGTGATGATGTCGTTCCCTCACTCCCCTTCACTCACCCGCCTCCAGCCACTCCTCTACAAGCCTCCTCATGTGAGGCGAGGTGGCGGTTAAGAACTGGCAGCCGTAGTCGAACTGGAAGTCAGTACCGGGAGCAAGAGATGAGGCGCCACCATTACCTACCCCACCCCCACCCCCACCAGCAGCAGAGCTACCACCACTAGGCCCTGGAACCCGGCTAGATGCTCGGCCACCTGCTTGGAGTGAGGCGAGTTGCATGGTGCTGTTATGATGAAGCTTTTATGAACGGGGTGCTGGGGCCCTTGTGCGGGAAGTGAAGGGCGTTTAGAGGGCACTATCCAGGATAATGGGTGGCGGATGGACGTCGGCACCATGGGTGGAGGGCTTGTGGACGAGATCCGGGAGTTCCGGCGGGCCCAGGGAAAGGCAGGAGAGACGAGGGAGCGGAAAGGACGTCTGGATGGGTGTGTGTGGAGGATTTGATCAGCCTTGCCCTGTGGTCAAAGGCACGGGGTGATGGAGACCTGTGGCGCGCTGAAAAGACTGACCCGGGTGTTGCCGGCCCATGTCAAAGACGTCAACCTTCGCTCCCCTGCGGGATAGCAGATGACTGCATATGGCACCGCTGATGCCGGCGCCGATCACCGCAACCTGCGGTGTGGCAATACCGGTGGACATCCTTCGCATCGAACCGGCGCTATGCGCTTCGCATGCAAGCTTTTGTGCGTAGGATAAGTAAAAAAGCTTGTTATGCTGTTTTGATGCATTCCTTAAGAACAGTCCTCCGACCGGCATGGAAGCCCTAATCCTTGGCAAACTTGCAAAAAGATTTGCAGCTGCTCCCTACATGAAGTTCAACTGTAAGCATCTATGCAAAGGACCGAACTCTAGTTAAGCAGCCTCTCGCACAAATGTGTCCGGTCGTACTTCGCGAATAAAAGGTCCGTACATGACGCCCCAAAAGCCAGGAGCGAATTTTGCCGCGCAGATGCGCGCTTGCGATTCTCAAAATGAGCCTGTACAAGTGTATATAAATTTTCTTGGCGGACCAGGTGCGCCAGCGCGTTGCGCAGGTGGGCATGTTGGCCATAGCCGCACGCGGCATGCAGGCTGGACTATTGCCTGGATGCTTTGCAGTAACTGAAATGAAAGCACCGAAAGCCAACGTCGTAGCTTGCAACTCTGGGCTCGTGAAACTGCCGCGGAAGATGAAGCGCTGGCGAAGAGGCAGTTGTATGCAGCACCTTGTTCAGAGTAAAGTCAAATTACAAAGTTGCGCAAAGTATAACATACATAAACTTAATTAAACATAAGAACAGATAAGACGTTTAGAGCCTTGTCGGTGACATGGACGCCGCTGTTGGCTTGGAACAGCTATTTGCTGTGCATAGGGACGTGCCCGCGTTAGCCGTGTTGCAACAGCTCAGGATGGATTTCAGCCAGCAACAGCCTCAAGAGCTGCTGCACAACCACCGGGAATGTCTTCAGTTGGGCACGTGTAGTTTTGGTCGGCGGGGTCGAGCAACGTACGCAATGCGCACAGAAACCAAGGTGCAGCGTTCTGTAACATCGCCAACATATCCGGTACGCGGTGGCAGGCTTGCCGAGCACGAAATGAAGGGGGGGTCGCATCTCACCATTCAACTAAGCATGCATGTGCTCGGTTGAATGCTCGGTAGCGTGCGAGTTTACCCCTATCAGAATGTTTGTTTGCATATCCCTCCAAGCGAGAGGGCTTGGACCTATGCTGATGTTCGTTCCAAGAAGTGAACTGAGGACTGATGCTACGGTTAAAGATTTGCACGTAAATTCGCCCGTGCAATAAAACGCCCTGTAACTCGCTTACGCTAATCTCACATTCCAATATGCCACTGCACTTTCCTCTCCAGCCTGGCCACATTCCCTTCCTCGCAAACGTACTTGGGCACCTTCCTATCCAACACCATACGGGCTTTAGAAACGCGGGCAGCTGCTTCACAAGGACCCCCCTATTTGCTTCTTACAGATGAAATGGTATAAAATATTACCCCCAACCGCTCCGAATTTCCGTACACAAATAAACACGGAAGCAGTTGCTACTACGAGGTTCAATCTTGGAAACGAATCTGCTTTGCAGGTCGCCAGGATAACGGCTGCGTAGCTTGATCCATTTGGATTGTACGTTCCAGATATATGTGTGTGTGTGTGTATGTGTTACATGGTCGTGGGGTGCGGTACCCGGTACCTGCAAACCGCCCAGGGACATACTCGCTCCACCCTAGGTCCATTGCGTGCTCTCTTAGCCGCCAATTCCCAACAGCAAAGCCTAAACTGCTTAAGCTTGCGATTCGCTGAACGTGGGATGAACGATGTAATATGCGGGAGCACCTCCTTCCTGCCCGCTTGCTCGGCCGCCAGACCCATCCAATGCTTATACTTCGCCATGTGAATTCCTGGTTGCTTGCTGTCTGACGGGTACACGTCTGGCTGGACATCTAGACGAGTATGCTTCCAACCACTCACTAATCGGTCATTGAACTCCTATACCACACCTTCTGGCAATGGCCTTTCCATCAGCCATTCCACTCGTTCGTCTACTTCGTATAGCCCTTGCGGGGCCTCTTTCCTTCGTCGTGCCCCAGAAAACATACAAAACGGTGGAGTAGTGCCCCTCATCCAGCCCCTTAGGGGTTGGAGAGGGACTCTGCGACCTCCTGTCGCAAAACTTGGTGTGCTACAGACCCACGCTGTAAACGGACACGGTTCCAAAACCTCACGACCTGCTTGAAAACGTGGTAATGTAGGGGTAGCTGCGACAGTTCGGCAAACAGGAGGCGATGTGTTGGTCTCGCAGCTCCCACAATTTGTCGCATGAACGATATCTGAAGCTGCACCGCTCCGTCCTTTAGGCACGCCTCGAGGGGCCCCCCTCCGCAAGGTTACTCGCATCACTCCGCCTCCTGAGCCTGCTTAAGACTTCAGCTGGCATAAACGGCCCCCACACTTGACAGCCATGCAGCAGTATTGCTCGTACCTGCGTATCAAAACACCTCATCCTGATGTGCTACGCCCTGATGTGCTACGAATCTCTTGTTGCTTGGCACAGCCCCAACAACACAAGCAATGGTCCCGCTAGGGACGACACGCCGATGTCGGAAGCATCATGTAACGATAATACGTTGTACAAGCTTTACCCTAATATATAACGTATAAACAATAAATATTGTTTTATACAATACATTTAGTTGACATGCCATTTACATTCAATGCTTTAAGGACATATTCATGAGAAAATATTATTAATTTATGGTGAGACAGTGAGAAGGTGACGGTGAGAAGGTGACGGTGAGACGCCAACAGCAAGGCCGTGCCCCAAGGTGTTATGTGGGCAGGTAAGTTGTGGAGCAGCCGGGAGCACAACGGGATTTAGATGCATACAGTGACGTGAGTGCATCGAAACATTACACCCTGATGTGCTATGAATCTCTTGTTGCTTGGCACAGCCACACCAAAACACACACCAAAACACACACACACACACACACACACACCAAAACACACACACACACACACACACACCAAAACACACACACACACACACACCACACACACACGCCTTGTCATTCTTTATACTGGATTCCCTCGACATTATTTAGTATAAAGAATGACAAGGCGATCAGAGGCTTGCAGCCTGGCCCAGACGTCCCCCCTGAAGTTCTCCGCTCTCGGAATGAGCTGTTCAACAAGCTACGTAACCAGAAGAAGAACGCGAAGACGGGTAGTCTTTGGGACAACTTCGAGGTGGAGTGGTGGGGTGGTCTACCAAAGCTAGTCTGCTTGTTCTGCGATGAGCCGCTCAGCGCCGCGAACCCATCCTTCACCAATTGCCGAATTGGAGGGTTACGTACTGGCCCGTACGGGAGGTTGTAGTGCAGGAACTTCACTAGTATGACGTCCGTGTGTTGTCTTGTGAACACTGGGTCTTCTATCTGTGATTATGTCTTTATGTGCCATAACACGCCTTGAGACATGGGGTTTGGGGTCCATCTATCTATCTATCTATCACTCTATCTATCATCATCATCAGCATGAGCAGCAGCAGCAGCATCCTTACTATCGTCATCATCCTCACCCGGCCTTACCTGTCTCTCCCGCCCTGGGTAATTCTTGGCAATGGGTCCAATGGACCTCTTGTGAGACCCCGCTTCCCCGCCTAACAACACTCCCCCAGACATGCACCTGGAACCAGCAGCGCCATGTCCCAGCCGTGAACCAGCTACCAGCGCCGCCACCACAACAGCACATCCGGACGCCGACAGACCTACGCCCGGATGTAAATCCGGATCCAGATCGGATCCATTTTCACCAGGGGTTAAATCCGGATCCGGATCCCAGGAGAGGTCTGGATCCGGGTATGGAACCCGACTCTCCAAGGGTTTTGACAGCGGTATCCCCGACGCATCACCAGGTTAGTGCCGTACTTGTATCCGTACATTGGGTCACTACAATGTCTGAAATGCGGAATGTGTATTGCTGGAGACATTTTGCTGAAACCTGTTGTTGGGACCGCTGCGAAAGGTTAGTGTTGTGACGGGGCTCCCACTCCGGCACTATCTGTCCGACCCCGTCACGGCCAACATTGCAATTTCATCACCGTTTCAGATGTGATGTGATCTAATATGGTGCGCATTAATGGGAAGGTATGTGTTAGGCCATATAGTCGTGTGTGCTTGTGGTAGTGAGATACCGGAGCACTTGCTTAATTACTTGGTTGTTTCCTACCTTCTCATCCTTCCGATGTACGACACTCATGCTGCATGAGTTGCCGGAGGTTGGCGGCTTGGGGACCGGCGGTGGCGGTGACGGCGCAGGGGAAGCGGCTTTGGTGCCGAAAGCGGCAACCAGTTCCAGGGTGCCGCAGGGTCGGCGGCGGAGGCAGACAACCCATGGGCCACACCGTCATCTGCCGACGCCACTGCACTTCACGCAGCCGCGGTCTGCCTGGCGGCGGACCTAGCCAGCAGCGTGCTGGGCCTTGTACCGCCGCCGCCAACACTGCTGCCGCCGCCGCTGCCGCCATTCCATGCAGCCGGTGATGCACCTGCCGCCGCCGGCCCCGGCACAGAGCCGATGACAAGCGGCTCCGCTGGCCGCAACGCCGCCGACGGCGTCCATGCGGCAATTACCGCTGTTGTACGACAGCTAGAGGACCTTGTGGCGTCGTCGTTACGGCTAGGCATGCTTGTAGCCGCCGCGCCCGGAGGGATGGCGCTGCGGCTCGTGGCACCGGGGACCCCGATAATTGCACCGTACGGTGCCGTACAAGAGGGGCAGCTGGCGCCGCCGCAGGTGGCGGCGCCCGTGGTGCCGGCGGCCCCGACGGCGCCGCAGCTCGTTCTCGCCGTTGAGTGGCTGTCATTGGAGTTGGAGGACGATGACAGACTCTGCAGCCGCGGTAGCGACGGCGGCACGATGGGCACTAGTGGCGGCGGCAGCAGTGGCGGCAGCAGAAGTAACATCAGGAGCGGCGTGGTTCTCTGGGTCGTGTCGCCGGGGCTTGTGTGCCGGCAGGGGCGGGGTGGGGAGGCTTCACTGTACGCCGACAGCACTGGCGACGGAAGCGGCAACAGCACTCTGCCCGTCGCCAGCACGGCGGACGGTGTCCGAGAACGGGTGCTGATACCAGTACATGTAGTGGGTTGGAGTGCTTGATGACGTACACGTGCGTTGCATGAAGTCGTACAGGCAGGACCACGGTGATCTTGATCCTACCTGCAGCTCATACGCTTCCGCATCTCGATTCAACCTTCAGCCCATACGCTTCTGCACCCTACTTCGTGAGCAGCACTCTCCCTTGACAGCCTTTCACACACTTCAACACATATCGAGACCAGCAAGTGGTTGCCGTGCTTCACTAACCCAGCGTCCGGTCCTCATACCAATGTTGGGCAGGGAGCTTTCCCCGATCCTTGGGCACCTTCAGGAAAAAAATCTGTACATGTGTATGCCTTTTGCACCCTGAGGGTCGTGCGCATTACAAGCTCCTTGCGGCAGGGAATACACCCCATGATTCATGGGACACTGTAACTGTAACTGTAATACGTATGCAAAAGTCTCAAGCACCCACAAAACAAGTAGGGCCCCAGCCCATCTCAGTAATGATGCTGAGGCCGCCTACCCACCCACGTCTTGGCCACAACTGCTTCCACTAGTTCCTCCGTCAGCACTCAGTGCTGCATGCCTGGCTTTGTCCAGTTTTAGCAATGAAGAACGGCCCAACTGTAACCCACGTGTGCGATCATGGCATCCTTGGCCCCTCCTCCAGAGGCAAACAGGAGGTGTGAAGATCAAAACCATGCGCCTTACGCATCTATCAAAACCATGCGCCTTACACATCTATCAAACCATGCACCTTACACATCTATCAAAACCATGCACCACAGCGCGCCCGCCACGTGCGACTGCCATAATGACTGTGGCTTAATTAGCGCCATCAGCTGTGCGAGCCAGCATCCCTACCAACTCATAGGGGGTCTAACAGCGTCTAACTTCTTAGGCGGGGCTGTCAGACGGGCTCATTATCAGCTGCTGACGATAGTTGTTAACGTGGCATAACAGCCAGTTAGACACTGGGTTAGAGGCTGTCTTGTCCTGTTTGGCCCTGTGACTGACATATACCTGGAGCCCACACTGTTAACAGTTGTCTGATTCTAGGGACTGTTAGCAGCTGTAAGGACCTGTAACGGGCGGACAACTTTTAGGAGTTGGTTTGTGCCTTCTGACCACAGACCTTTGACATGAGCAGCTATCTTTTTTCCTTCCTAGTTTGTGTAGGTGATTAGCCATCACACAATCCATACAAAGGGATGAGCCACGTTCTTTCCAATATAGACCAGTAAAGACAATTACAACTACGCGCCTAGTCAAGCCGCTCTGGGGGAGTGAAAGTAAGTTGTGCACTTCGCGGTAAGCACGGTTTGCAGGCAACAATGCAATCGTTCGTATTGCTTGTTCTAACCGTGTTTCTTTTGGGCGCCGATGGCCGCTCCATGACTGAGGAGGGGGCAATGGATGAGCTTAAGGGCTCGGTTCGGACCGGCCTGCTCTACGCACCATTGCTTGACCCCAGGCCGAAGTCTATGGGTAACATAGCGCAACCAAGATCGGTTAGCCTTGTGAAAACAACCGCACCACAAGAACTCCGTGACAGATCCACCCGAACCAATATGCTGGGCGAACAAGACACCGGCATACTGATATGCCAGAACAATCAAGCGCGTAGGATATGCTCTAATATGAATCCTCTGAAACAATGGC